CTAGTTAGCTACATCATGCAGATGTTACGTTCTTATATATCATCACACCAATCGTATACAATATATATGTACAGGGGTAGAAATTAACTTTCAAACAAGGGAGCCCAACGGACTCCCTACCCTCAAAAAGAGGGAGTCCGCAGCAAAATGAGGGAGTCCGCAGTCTGAAGTTCAAAATTAAAGATATTAACAATAAGTTTCGTGCTGCCAAAAATTTCTTTGGACATTTGCTGAAAAAATATGGTAATTCCGCGAGGCCATGCTCTGGAACGAACCAGTTAGTATAGCAGAATTTTCAGGGAGTCACACGGACTCCTGCATATGTTAAATCAGGGAGTCCGTCATTAAATCGGGGAGTATTTGACACCGGACTCGCGTTAATCTCACACCCTGTATGTAGGGGACACTGAGAATTATGAGAACCTAGCACAACATAACGTACAAAACATAACTTAAGGTAATGTAGTGTCACGTAACTTAACATAACATAACAACATAACATATCATAACATAGCATAGCATAGCATAACATAACATTCCTGATCGCACTCCTGATTTTTTTTATATTGAAGTTGTTTACAAAAAGGTGCGTCTTATACACGAGTAACTCTCAGACAGTAACTTCAACACGAGTTTGGTCTCAGACAGGGCGCATTATTATTATTATTATTATTATTATTAAATTTGTATTGCTTGTAATTCAAATACAAACACATGTACTGAAGTCAGTCATTTTCATGGAGAAAAAATCTCATAGATGCAATAGGGCTGAGCAGTTACAAACACCTTCATTATCGTTTCTGACAACAGGCTCCTGATGTGGAACTCGCGAGGGTTCTTGGGTGATACTCCATTAGGAGTGTTCCCAACTTTAACGTGATTAATGNATGTGCTAGAGATATAAGGGTATTGTTTATGCTGGATACACACATGTACATATGCACGGCCTGGGACTTTGGGTAATGCCATTTTCTACATCTGAAAAAAAATGGGCTATTGCTATGTTTAGTTTGTAGGAGTACGGTGCTAACCTCAAATTGAGCTCATTTCTGGGTCCTGAGAGTGAATCAAAATTTGCTTCAAATAAACGCGAGAGGTTGTGTGTCAGCGTAGCCGTGGATCAGATAATACAAGACTAAATATCACGGTCATCGAAAATGGGCCTTTAAATTATGCCGTGAAAATTCGTGGAGGCATGTCTTTACCTCATCCGTGTGTGTGTGTGTGTGATGTGTGTGTGCGTGCGTCGCGTAACACGCGCATGTTCTGACGGTTTTCTACAGGTGCTGAGAATTCATCATGTGTAGCGTGCGTGCGTGACGGGCGTCGCGGCGGTGCGTGGCGTCGCGTGCATTTCGTGCGTGCGTGAGTGCGGCGTGCGTGGTAACACGGCTGTTTGACATTGTTACAGGTGGCGAGACTTTCATCATGGAGTGCATGCGTTAGCTTGCGTGCGTGCGGGCGTAGCGTGCGTGCGTGCGTGCGTGTGAGCCGCGTGAGTGCGCGTGTGCGTGCGTGCGTGCGGGCTGTACGTGTGTGGCGTGCGTGCGTGCGTGCGGGCGTACGTGTGTGCGGCGTGCGTGCGGGCGTACCGTGTGTGCGTGCGTGCGTGCGGGCGTACGTGTGTGCGGCGTGCTGTGGCCGTACGTGTGTGCGTGCCGTGCGTCCGTGCCGGGCGTACGTGTGTGCGTCGCGTGCGGGGCGTACGTGTGTGCGTGCGTGCAGTGCGGAGCGTACGGTGTGGTGCGTGCGTGCGTGCGGCGTACGTGTGTTGCGTGCGTGCGTGCGTGCGGGCGTGCGTGCGACGGCGTGCGTGGCGTGTGTAATCACCGGTTGTTTGACATTTGTTACAGGTGGGCGAGATTTCATCAGTTGTGCGGTGCGTGCGTGCGTGAGTGCGTGCGCGCGTGCGCGTGTGAGTGTCGCGTACGTGCGTGCGTGCCGTGGTGTGTGGCGTAGCGTCGCGTGCGTACGCGCGTGCGTGTGTACACGGTTTGTTGACATTGTTACACGGTGGCGAGATTTTCATCATGTGTGCGCGCGGCGTGCGTGCGAGCGTGCGTGCCGTGCCTGCGTGAGTGTGCGTGCGTACGTGAGTGCGTGCGGGCGTGCGTGCGTGCCGTGCGTGGTGTAACACGGCTGTTGACATTGTTACAGGTGCGAGATTTCATCATGTGTGCGTGCGTGCGTGCGTGCGTGCGTGCGTGCGTGCGCGTGTGAGTCGTGCGTACGGTGTGTGCGTGTGTGCGTGCGTGCGTGGCGTGCGTGACGCGTTGTTGTGCGTGCCGTGCGTGTGTGCGTGCGTGCGCTGCGTGCCGTGCGGGCGTGTGTGCGTGGCGTGCGTGCGTGCGTGCGTGCGTGCGTGCGTGTGTAACACGGCTGTTGACGTTTTTACAGGTGTGAGATTTCATCATGTGTGCGTGCGTGCGTGCGTGCGTGCGTGCGTGGCGTCGCGTGTGTGCGTCGCCGTTTGCGTGCGTGCGTGCGGGGCGTGCGTGCGTGCGTGCGTCGCGTGCGTGCGTACGTGCCGTGCGTGTGTAACATGGCTGTTGCCACCATGTCTACATGGTGCCGAGATTTCATCATGTCTCCCATCCAAGGATCCCTAAAGTAGAAGTGGTCGTCGTTCCCAAAAAAAAAAAATGCCTTTTCATTGTTTCCCTGTCGTGTCACCCGTGAGTGCTGTTGGCCATAGTAACACGCACTTGTCTCAAGCTATTTAATATTGCGCACCCTCGTGTTAGAGTGCGTATCGTCTACTTAACTCTGGCTTCCTTTACATTGGCTAGCGCGAACATGTTGGTCAGGCTTAATTTTATGCTTGTGTAGACTCGTCAGAATTTCATACATGTATTCACAATTGAGGGTCAACTTGGAGGAACCTTAAAAGGGCATTCCACTGTACCATTAGGAACTGTTACAAAAGGACTGTACTGTACATTATAGGATTCGTACAATGTGGAGCATACTGTTACACATAGGCTGAACCAGTGAAGGCAGTGAGAGCGCTCACCTCTCTCCTGCTCTCCCTCTCACGCTTTCTCTCTCCTCTCTCTCTCTCTCTCTACTCCTCTCTCTCCTCTCCTCCCTCTCTCCCTCTCTCTCTCTCTCCCTCTCTCTCTCTCGTTCTCTCTCTCTCGCTCTCTCTCCCTCTCCTCTTCTCTTTCCCCCTCCTTCTCTCTCATCTCTCTCTCTCTCATCTCACCCAGGACAATGGAAGCTCTCGTCCCTCCCCTCTCTCGTCCCTCTCTCTCTCTCCCTCTCCTTCTCCCTCTCTCTCTCCTCTCTCTCTCCTACTCCTCCTCTCGCTCTCTCCTCTCAATCCTCCTCTCTCTCCCTCATCCTCCATCTCTCTCCTGCCTCTCCTCTGCTCTCTCTCTCTTTTAGCTCTCCCTCTCTCTCCCTCTCTCTTCCCCTCTCCCTCTCCTCGTCTCTTACGCCTCCCCTCCTCGTCTCTCTCTCTCCTCTCCTCCTCTCTCTCTCTCTCTCTCCGACCTCCCTCCCTTTCCCTCTCTCTCTCCCTCCTCTCTCTCTCATTCTCTCGATCTCGTCGCGCGTCTCGTCCTCTCTCATCCTCATCACACATCTCTTCCCTCACTCCCTCGGCTCATCTCACTCTCTCCCCGACGACTCTCGTCTCGCTCTCCTCTCCTCTCCTCTCTGTCTCTCTCTCCTCGTCATCTCTCTCTCTCTCTCTCTCCTCTCTCTCTCTCGTCTCTCCTCCTCTTCTCTCCCTCTCTCTCCCTCTCTCTCTCCCTCCTCTCTCTCTCTCGCCTCTCTCTCGGTCTCTCCACCCTCCCGCATCTCTCATCTCTCCCCCTCTTTCTCTCTCTCTCAGTGACAGACATTACTGCTAACTCATCTCTCTCTCTCCATCAGGCGATCATGTTCTGGATCGTCGACAACTTCCTCATGAAGAAGCGTAAGCCGACGCCGGCCGACCTTCACATTCAGCCCGTCCGCTACCAGCGCGCGGGCACCGGCGGGGGGGGCACCGGCGGGGGGGAGCAGGACTCCGACTCCGACGTCGCTCTCATCTCCGCCACCGACGACGACAACGAAGGCCTGCAGCAGCGGCACCCGCCGAGCCCCACCGCCGTGTGACCATTACCTCCGCCGAGCCCCACCGCAGTGTGACCATTACCCCCTGCCGGGCCCTGCCGCCGTGTGACCATTACCCCCGCCGGGCCCCACCGCCGTGTGACCATTACCCCCGCCGAGCCCCACCGCCGTGTGACCATTACCCCCGCCGAGCCCCACCGCCGTGTGACCATTACACCCGCCGGGCCCCACGGCTCTGTG